CGAATATTTAATTGTAAGAAAATGTGTTTAAAATAAAATAAAGCGGTCATTGAACATGTGAGCACAAAGTTGATGATTGTTGATCCTTTAACTAAAGGTGTGCCATCGAAGAATTTGTAGGATCTTGTAGTACATATGGGACTTGGTTCCATGATGTAATTTTTATTTTATAAACTTTTTTTATTTTGATGAAACTCTTATACAGTTTGATTCTTTTCTCATTTTATTATGTGCACATATTTATTTAGAGAAAAATCATTTCATTTAGACCAGAAATTAATATGTTGTTATTTCATTAATTTGGGTGTTGATATTAAAAAAATTGATATATACAGTAATACATGAAAGATATTACTCTTTATTAGACGATGTATCGTCGTTATCGATATTATTTTATTTTGTTTCTTGTTATGTTTGATTATGGATTATATGGATCAAGTGGGAGAATTTGAGTTTGTTTCCTATTTATTCTCTAATAACATGTGGTTATTTTTTGAGGATTTCTTAAAGCACTTCATGTGTTTCTTAGACATCATACGAATTTCCTATAATGCCCCTACTTTTTAGAGATATATCTTCGGACGCACCTTATTTTAACTAAACGTTAAGATATTCCAGAGATATATCTCTGGACATACCAAAGATCAATTCAACATTAAAATATTTCGGAGATATATCTTCGAAACAATTTGGAGCATATTATCGCGCCAGACTCTTCTCCTCCCACACTTTTTCATTTCTATTCACAAACCTCTTTATCTCTCTCATTCTCAAATTTCCCAAACTTCACCAAATTTGATTTCTTCCATCCGAAGGTCAAATGATCATCAAGTTGCATATAATGCATCATTCAACGTCTTTCGAATCATATCATCTGAGTAAGTTTTTTTGAGTTTCCGATAAATGTGAGTTTTGTTGTAAATGAGTTAGAATCCATTGTTAGATGTTAAAATGTTAAGAAATCAGATGAAACATAGTTTAGAGTAACTGCACGTATTATTTGTTGGCTCAAATGGACGATGATAGCTTCAAAATTTTGTGATTCTTAGGGGAAGAGGACGTCATTGACGTGACCTCTGAATTGCAGAATATCCTGAGATACATCTCCAAAAACATTCAATGTTTCATGTACTCTGGGTAATTCCAAAGATACGTATGCAGAATGTTTCTATAGTTGTATCTCCGAAATCACCCATAGTACATGAGATATTGAATATTTATGGAGATGTATCTCTGAAATTTATTAGTCTGTTTTTTTTCTTTTTGTTTTATAACTTTTCTAATGTCGTAAACTCATTGTACGATTAATTATATTATATCTTGCAGGCATAATAGCTGAAAGAGCTGGCAGGTTGAGGCATGGATGGGTTTCTCAGCATGTATTCGTTAGACGAGAGTGGAGTCAGTCGGATCCTGATGCAACAGGTACCTCTGTTCAGGGAGAGGCATCGACTGCTGGTGTACAGTCTACTCTTGAGACTCATTCCACTCATGTGGTTCAGCCTTCACCTCAGTCCACTCCATCTCCATCTCAAGCCACTCCAGCTACATCTCAGGCCACTCCAGATACGTCTCAGTCCACTCCACTTTCTTCATTTTCTTCCCGCAGACCACTGGATTCATCAACTGACGCATCACATCCTCCATCCTCCCACAAGCGGCGGGATACACTTATGCTACCTCTTGTTGATTCGGTGTCACCTCCTGTTGACCCGGTCGCACTTGCTGATCAGAATGCATCGATGCCACCTCCGGAGGGTGATATTGTTTATGCCGAACCAGAGGCTTTCGGAGGGATCCATTTGATATGTTCCTACTTCCTTTATACCCAGACCACACTGTCAGACCTATCTGCGACGGAGAGGTAACATTAGTCACATTGTTACTATATCTTTTACATTAATTTAAATTGCTGACATTGGTTATTTCTGACATTGATTCTTGTTGACATTGATTATTTCTGGAAATTCGCAGGTGTGTGATCCCTAGAAGTTTCTAAACCATGGGTGGAAGATTTTAGCATTGCATCAGCCTAATGTGGAATGGTTTCAGTTGGTTCTCATATGCTTGACTGGTTACACTTTGGTCAACCACGGGATGCTTAATGCATTCGTGGAGCGGTGGCACTCTAAGACCTATTCCTTTCATCTCCCGCACGGTGAAATATCGATTACACTGGACGATGTCTCGTGTTTGTTGCATCTACTGATTAGAGGGAGATTTCTCCATCATGGTAGGATGACCAAAGACGAGGCGAACGATATGATAGTGGAGCATCTCGAGGCTGATCCAGTGAAGGCGCTGAGATAGGTGAATAGGATTATGGGTGCTCATGTTAGGTTTTCGTTCTTGAATGAGATATTTGATGAGGCGCTCGTTGCTACAACGCAAGATGCTGGTGATGCCCAGGAGGTGGAGATCCACAGGAGTCATGCTTTAAGGTGTTATTTTCTATTTTTAGTTGGCACTGTGCTTTTTGTGGACACGAGTGCCACGTATACTACCGTTGCATACTTCCAATACTTCCTGGATCTCACGCGGATCCATGAGTATAACTAGGGAGGCTTGTTTGGCCTATCTGTATTCAAAGTTGAAAGATAGATGTCGGTGGACGACGAGGCAGACCACAAGCAGCACGACCCTACTGGTGATAATAATTTTGTATCCTTGATTGTTTTTATTTATTTCATTTCATATTTGTAATAATTCTTTATCCCTGAATGCTATTTTATTTTCATTTCAGGCTTGGATCCTCTAGCACTTCCCGCACATCGTTGGCTGGTCGTGTTAGGATGAGTACACTGAGGAGATGTCTCGTGCATGTGCTTTTATCTCGCTGAGAGGGAACCAGACGGTCGAGCCTTTCAGAGTCTATCTTGACTGCTTAGTTGTTGAGGACATTCATTTCAACTGTTATGTGGATTATCGTCAGACGTGGTCATTTGACGACATATCGCTATACTCCAAATGGGTAGCCTGCTCGGGGACGGCCACTGCTCCTCATCTGCCCGAACACGTTATGCGACAGTTCGGGTACACCTATACCATCCCTAGGCACCCTATTTGCACCTCCGTCCTTGACTCGTATATAGATAGAGGAGATTTTTGTTGATTATCATAGTCATCTGGTACCGAATGAGGCTCGGCTACCATAACGTCGAATGATTGGAGCTACGTCGACGAATACATCAGGTGGTTCTTTAAGGTCTCAAATATGTACATGATGCCGACTGCTCTAGGAGATCCGCCGAGACCCGCTCATCAGGAGATTCTAGAGGAGCAGCAGTCTCAAATGGATCATAATGAGATGGCACGGGCAGGCATTGACGAGGGTATCTTCTCTGAGGGGTCTGCTGTCAGACAAGTACTAGATGGAATTATTGCGGGGCACATGGAACACTTTTGTACCGCAAACATCGCACGAGGACATGAGGGATCGATGTCAAGGAGGCAGACCAGGCACAGGAGGCAGATGAGAGGTTGTCAGGCACATCCAGCAGTTGTCTGTATTTATTTTATTTCAGTATTGTAATTTGTACGTTTTTTCTGACATTGTTATTACATTTTGTATTTACGTGACGTATAACATCCTATTACTATATTGTTATGTTATTTGTATTTTTGTTATTTTATAATTCATCTGCAAACAAATACACAATGTGTTTTTTTTTAACTTATTCTGAAACACTTCAGTGATGTATCTCTAGAAAATTTCCGAAAATGCATCTCCGAACAAATTCAAATGAAAATGGGCTATGAAAAATATGATGTGACCGTTTAAGATTTAAATTGCTCCGAAAATATATCTCTGAAATATTATTAAGCTATAAAACGTGTCCGGAAATATATCTCTGAAATTTGAAAGCATTTGTAAAAAACCACATGGGAAAAAAGAAACATGTGGGATGAGATAAAAAATTCCCTATATTTTAGTTTAGTTGCAAATCTATTGGTGTGAGTTGCGATTTATTGAAGAAAAAAAAATTAACTGAATTGGTTCACTCCTTTTCTCCCTCAACCCATGATCTCAGCATTTTCTTTAATAACTAAAATGCATCGAGTAACAATTCCAAAATGTGTTACACGTCTTTGTGAAAGCAAGGCTCTATATATTCAGAACGTCTTCACCATGTTTCATGGTCACTAAACTTGTTTTTTCTCTTCATAAATTACACTATTGAATTTAAGTGAGTAAAAATTTAGAATATCAAAACAGAATAATTGCTGCAATAAGAAGCTCAATTCCGGCATAGCAATGGCGGGAGGTTAGTGTTCCTTCTTTTGCTTCCGCTTACTGGTTTGAGTGTATTGTTTGTTTATGATGCAAATTATGTTTAAATCAATTAAGAACTTCTATTACATATTTTATTCCTTTAGAAAAAACCATCATCGTGTTGAATGAATATCACAAAATTTGCTTCTTTTTAAATAAAAAATTGATTGAAAAGAAGCCAACGTACATCATAGTCATCTAGTGGATTATTGCTTCATGCAAGTGAACAAGGATAAGAAAATGACCTGTGGTTTCTTCAAACGTATTGAAAGTGATAATGCTTACATTAACCTGTGGGGTGTTTTGCTTGAGTTGCAGTTGGTGACGGTCAATTAAAAAGGGAATGTTACTACTAATGGGTAGAGATTAGAACAGAAAACTTTAGCTAATGAAAGGGAAGTGGAAGATTAGCATAAGTCATTTGATTGGAGAAACTTGCCACCCCCATATCGGATATCCTGAACACTTTTACTGTTTATACTCTTTTGTAAAAATCAGATTTAATAATAAATGACGATATTTTCAAACAGAAATAGATTACTTCTTTTCATGGCTCAGAAAATAGACAAATGTATTAAATTCATCCTTCTCTCGTTGCTTCAAGTAGAGATGAAACATCAATTTATATTTTGGAATGTTCTGAGAACAAAATTTACAGTAGCCGATAGATAGCACAATGTCAAAACTCTACCCAAAGTTTTATATGTACAAAAGCTATAAGATTGGGTCAACACGGTGAGTACTCCAGGTCCACCAAACGAGAGAGAATCTCATCACAACTCGGCCGTTCATGAGCATCTGCCCAACAATCTGTAAACAAACACGAAAAAAAAATTATTAAGTTGAACCAGATGAGTATAAGTGGTCATCAAAATGCGATTAGAGATTCTATCACATGAAATGTAGTGGGACCTGAAATCAGCCTGCCTAATGGACCTTCAGGAACCTCCAATCTGGAACCCTCATGAGCAACAGAATAAACCACCTGATCAAAAGTAAAAACGATAATTTGTTTCAATGAGATGCATAGTAGAAATAGAAAACCCTGGAAAATGAATAGATCATCAGTTGAATATACCCTCTCCGGTGGTACGCCTTCCCATGGTCTGCTCAAGTTGTACAGCTCCCACAGTATCACCCCAAGGCTAAAGATATCACATTTTTCATTGAATGGTTCATTTCGTATGAGTTCAGGAGCCATCCACTCTGGAGTTCCAGCTGACGAAGAATCTCTGATTGGAGATTCTATCATTATTCTTGAAAGCCCAAAATCACAGATTTTCACGGTCCAATGCTTGTTCACTAGACAGTTTGCACTTTTTAAATCTCGGTGAACAATCTTCATACGGTGTATGCACATCAAACCCCTGCACGTAACCAAGGTGTACACATTAATGTTAACATATCAAATGTAGTTTCCAATATTATGAAAACAACTGAATGATTGAATTTGAAATGAGATAATGCTTCGCCCGATTATGATTAAAAACAGGTAATAGATGTAATAGATGAAATTTGCTGACACCAATGGCCTAACAAAACATAATTCTATTAAATAAATATTGCCTTGGCTCAAATGGTAGATCATTTGACATTTGATAACATATGCAACAGCAATTTCTCTCTAAATGGGGTCGGATACATAATCAAACGCACCGTAATGTTTTAGTATATATAACACTTATATCCAATTCATTAATTTCTAGATCTTTCTGAACCATTCTTCTTATAGGTGTTACCCCTAACTCTCTAATATTGTCATTTATAATCATATATCGTCTAGTCTTACTATACATCCAACACAACATCATCATCTTTGCTATGCTTATTTCATACTCATTTTCATTCTTTACCATCCAACACACCATCCCAAACAAAATCGTCAGTCTTACAATTTGTAAGATAAAATTTTCGCTTTAACTTGTGAGATACTTTTGTATCACATAAAACATCTCAAACTATCCTCCATTTCAACCACCCAACTGAATTCAATGGTTTAAATCTCCTATTTATTTATTGTTTTGCACTACAATCAAAAATATTTAAACTTTGTAACATATGCTGAAATTGCATTCCTCATACTAAGTTTTGCTTCTACTCGGGCTGAAGTCATACGCATCTAAGCCTTGTCTCCAATCTCCCATTTAATTCCTCCCTCGACTCTCAAAAGAGGACTATACGCATCTAAGCCTTGTCTCCAATCTCCCATTTAATTCCTCCCTCAACTCTCAAAAGAGGACTATATCGTATGCAAAAAGTATTTGATTCTCGATGTTGACTACAACGTGTGATGGCTACAACTCTCAAGTTTTAAGCACTTCACTAAAGTTTAATCCTTCTATAATTTGCACAATTTTGTATATATCTCGTTTTCGTATAAATCAGAATTAAAGTGATTCTTATCTATTTGTTCAACATTTTTTTACGTCATTGTCCCGTTAAAAAGCTGTGAGCCACCTAATACCTCTGTCTCCAAGACTTTTCCATACCGAAATAGGTATGTAGTCCGGTTCAATTGTCATGCCATTATCCATCCTTTTCAACATTTCTTTTATTTCGTGTTTTTGAATCCGACATTAACATGTATAACTTTAGTCGCCCTCTCTAATGTCTAGCCCAAATTTATACACAATTGGGTAACCAACTTGAGTTAGACATCACTAACAGAATTCAGGTACTCTTCTAACTGACATTCTGTTTTAGACTTTTTAGTGTTTACTAACAACTAGTAACTCGACTAATTAAACTAACCTGAACTATAAAATTTAATAAAAACTGGCTTGTAAAATGAGGACTACCCATCACTTAAAACACATTATAAAGTCACATAAGTTTAAATTGTTAAATTAAAAGAAATTAAATGACCACCTCAGAATGCTCCTTTTTAATTATTCTATTGCACCATTTTCATTCTCCTTGGATTCCATATAAAGACTGCATACAGTCACTTGCTTATTCTATATACACGTTATTTGGCTATGCAGTGCTCTATCTGCGTGACTTATGTGATAAAACAAAAATCTTACAGTTTCATTTTGAGCGTAATGGTTAATTTTTTGTTAACTACTACTATGAAGCTATTAACTTAAGCATTATACAGCATTTATACATTAGATTTCAAGGTATGTTATGTTGCATTGTGTCTCTAAATCTTATATTTGTTATGATTTGCGGTTCAAGCAACGATTTACACTTCATGCAATCTGAACCGTGATTGGGTTTTTAAATTAATTGGAATAGGAAGAAAATATGTCATGGAACACAGACAATACAGTGATTTCTCATGTGAAATTGAATGGACGAGGAATTTATGAGAATGATTGGAAAACTTCGAAGCAGTTATATACGTGTAAAAATTGTTTAGCATAAATGCCAATGAAGAGATAAGATTCTGAGAAGGTATGCATAATCATAGTACTTACTTGCACATGTCACACACCATCTTGCAGTTATAGATGTGCAAAAACTGTCTAGCATAAATGCCAATGGAGAAATAAGATTTCTGAGAAGGTATGCATAATCATAATACTTACTTGCATATGTCACGCATCATCTTTAGTCGTCTCCGCCAACTGAGCTTTTTCTTCTGACCGCTCAAATGTATCAAGTAATACAATGACCCCATCTCCATATATTCCGTAACCATAGATAAACGTGGAGGTTTTGTGCATGCACCAAGAAATAAGATAACTGCATATAATTTTATCACTGCATCAATAACACCTATACTGAGAGGGAACGATGCTACATGATATATTTATTCAACCAAACTTACATAATACAGTAATATTACTTTTTATACTTATCGGTGAGGAGTATTTTAATAAAGACATCAATTCAGAAGCCCTTTAATTAATTACGATATGTATAAAACAAATATGCAAGTCAATGTTAAATCCAAAATTATGGAAGTAAATAGTTAAAATGATGGAAAATACCATTAGGATGTCGGAGTCGGCTGGATGAAAACAAAAACATAAATTCAAAAGAAAACAGAAAGAGTCAGAACATGTTGGACACAACAGAAAAAGGCTAACAAGCTGCATATCAACAACCAAATACCTCAGAATAGATATTTCATTACAGAAATCTTCCATGTTTTCGGCAGTTAAATCTTGCTCTAGAAAAACCTTGATTGCAACATCTGTACCATTCCATATGCCACGAAAGACTTCTCCAAAGAAGCCTAAAAAAGAAAAAAGAAAATACATATATGCTCAAGCAATGGTTAACTATGGCATTACTACATCATCCCTCAAGAACAAACCTATGAATTAGCATTTGATCATGTGTACCATAACCATGCCAAAACGATAAATCTATTTATTTTAAAGCTAAAAAGCAGTTCTGCTTAAAATTGCACATGACATGGCACATAATACTCCAACTAAAACTCAAATATTTTCTAACAATGCAAATCTCCTCAAGACATTCCCCACTTGTATCTATTGAAACTTAAATTGAAAGAACATTTCTTACTTACAATGAAGAGGTTTGTACAAGTATCTATATACATGCGACACATTATATAAACAGAAATACGATCCTATCATGATCCTAGTGCATTAAATTTTTTGAAAAATAAAGGATGGGACATCACAACTTCAGTTGTATTGTGTTTGATTTTAAAATTATTGTACTAGACTAAATGGGGGAGACAAGGGACCGAACAACATTATTGCAAGAGAATATGATATGCTAAAATAAAATATTCCTATCTATACAAAATATTCCTATTTAAATATTACACCCACCCTCAAGTTGAAGTTGAAGCTTATAAATTAAATGCACCAAACTTGCTACATATAGAACTGATCAGGACCTTGCAGGGGTTAAAATATCTGCCAATTGATCATTGTAATTGACAAAGCTTGTGAGGATATCACTTGATTCAATCTTCTCTCAGGTAAAATGACAATCTATCTCAACATGTTAGATCCTCACATGAAAAAATAGATTTAAGCAATATGCAATGCAACTTGATTATCTCAAATTAGTGTCATTGGTCTTGCGTCTTCAAATTGAAGTGCTCTTTTGTGTAACTCTTTCAACCAAATGAGCTCACGTGTTACTAATGTCATTGCCATGTATTATGACTGAGCGTTGGATCCTGCAACTACAATTTATTTCTTACTCTTCCAAGATATCAAGTTTCCTCATACAAGTACAACCCAAAAGTGGAACGCCTATAATGGATGAGCCTACTCGATCAACATCTGAGTAGCCATATATCTCCGTATGTCATTTATCTTCATAAACAACCCATTTTCCTAGAGCATGTTTGATGTATTTCAGAATTCGGATTACAACAACCATATTCAAAGTAAACGTATATGGACGAGTGATTGTTAGATAATTCAATTTTCCAACCAATATCCTATGTAACCTTGAATCTAATTAGGTAACATTTTGACATTTGGATCCATAGGATATCAATTGACTTGTCACTCAATACCATCATTTGGACGAGTGACTTGTCATTCAATATTTCCTTTGTGAAATTACAACACCATCCTTGAATTGGGCTAACTCAGAATTTGAATTTCAACATCCATATTCAGTGTAAATGATTGGACAAGTGATTCTGGGATAGTTCATTTGTCCAACCACTCTCCTATGTTACCCTGAATCTAATTGAGGCTCACTCTGATTAGGTAGAAATTTGATATGAGGATCCATAAGTGTAACAACTAACTTGGCATTCAATAGACTTGTTTCTTCAATAAAATCCATAGCATATTTCCTTTGTGAAATTACAACACCATCCTTGAATTAGGCTAACTCAGTACCCAAAAAGTAACAAAGTTTACCAAAGTCTGCAACTTATCGGAAAGATGTTTCAACGGGAGTATTCTAGGTTGATCACTACCAATTATGATAATATTATCTACATAATCAATAAGATGTGCCATTTGGATTGAGTAACGATAAAAAAAAAATGAATGGTTGAATTCACTACAAAATATACCAAACCATTGTGCTATGTGCCAAATTTTGGTTTGAGGAGATTGTTTAAGACCATAGAGAGACATGTGTAGCCGATAAATCATAGTAGATGGCTTCCCCTGAGCAACAAATCCAGCCCAGGTGGTTGCTCCATATACACCACCTCCTCTTCAAGAGCACCATGCAAAAGGAGTCTTAACATATGTTATTATAGCTATAGGTGAGGAAGTATCACTATAATCCAACCAACACATTGTAAAAAACCAATGACAACCTACCAACACATCGTATAAAACCAATGACAACCTACTAAAGACTCCCAGGGGATAGAAGAATTGTTTCCCAAGTATCACTGGGGATGGATGAATCATTTCCCAAGTATCACTGATTTGAAGTGCACGCATCTCGTTAATCATTACCTACCTCCCCTCAGGATGGGATAACCTCACCTGGAGATTTAGGAATAGAAACAAAAGCCATAGAAGACAAGCAAGTATAAATGCAAAGGAGAAAGATGATTATAACTCCAAGTAAATGAGGACATGGATTGTGAATATGATGTATACTTTTACAAATAGCAATAGGAAGATCCAGAGTTGGATCTGGTAAAGGCACTGGTGGCGGGGGAGAGTCAGGAATGCCCTCAGAAACATGTGCTGGGACATGCACAGTAGACTGAGTTTTAAATATAAAATAAAACTACTCAAAAATAGAGAGTAATTTATATCTATTTTTCTTTAAAATAATCAAGTGCAGCAGGAAAAATCATCAATAGAAGTAATAAATCTTAAACTAGCAAAACATCTGTGTCGCATACCAAACAAATTACATCTAATCCCACAATGTGCAAATCATATTACTTTTTACTATGATAACCCTGAGATTCAAAACTTACCAATCCCTACACGAGTTCCAACAGTTAACTCAGAGAAGTCAATACTCCATCCTTCATATGGCAATAAAGGTTTGTTATTGTACATTTGAGATTCAAGTACTTTATTCCAGGTCGACTCTGTTTCATCATTAACTCCATATCTTGATAACTCGCTTCTCTCAGAAGATTGACTTCTATAGTCATGTGGTGAAGATGGTAATGAGATTGCCTTTTGTGATGTTACTTGGTCACGCTGAAAAGAATATAAGCTAGGCCTTTCATCATGACCATCATGATGGAAATTTGGCACCTGCAATTGCAGAAAGAGAATCATGCATAAGATATTTAAATTAACTGAAAAAAGAAAACCACCCTTCTCAAAAATAAAAGGGCCAAGACAAGTTTCATGTTTTAATAGAGTAGCTAATCCAACTTTTTAAACACCACAATAATAACCAATGATGATTGACAAACATAATTCACAAGACACCAATTTCAATGCAAACATGAATTTTAAACGAGTTGAGTTTGGAAAACCACAAATAGACACCATGCATGACACCAGCATAAAAGAATGCCCGTATGTAATTAATTTGTCTCAACTTCTGGGTTAGATCAAATTATTTAAATTCAGAGTTATTAAGTGTTGAGAGAGAAGAGAAACAAAAGGCCTGTGTCGAAATCTTCTTCCAAACTACACAGTGATGGATATTCTATATACCAAGACACATAAATCCAATCCAAAGATTTACAGTTACCCTAATTATTGATTTCTTGTAATTACATAATAATATACAACACATAATAAACCATAATTACCCTAAATCATGAGGAATTGGCAAATCAAATTGTAAGCCCGTTGACTCTCCTATAGATCCAAATGTTAACCTTCTCTTTGGTCATGGGAGCCATTTACAGGTCTAGGATGGTACCAAAAATTAGGTGGTAAGCCAAATTACCATACTATCGCTATTGTTATTGATTTAGTGGTGATTCAAGTTCACCAGCTTTCTCATGTAATCATTGAGAAGTAGTTGTTCTTAATTTGAGACATGTCAAAGGATCTTATGGTCAAGGTATATTGAATGAAAATGGAGCTCTTTCCGAAGTGATTGGTTACTCATATACTGATTGGGTTCGATCTTCCTCTGGTAGACAATCTACTTCAGGGTACCATGTTCTTAAAGAGGGCTATCTCGTCGTCTTGAAGAACAAGTAGGAGATTGTTTCTAGATCTAGATTTGAGGATTAGTAGTGTGTTATGGCCTTGGTATTATCTAGAGCAAGCAACTAAGTCATGAATTGAAATTTATTAAAGGAAGTTGTTTTGAAATAATCAAGCAAGATGCTCATCATATTGTTTTGCAATAATCAAGCAAGATGCTCATCATATTGCTTTGGACCCGATTTCTCATGAGAGGACGGACCACAAATATTGAAGACAGAGGTATTTGAGCATAATATTAAACAAATAATTGGATCATATTTTCTAAAGGTAAATGCTATTTTATTTAACACATAGATTTATGTGTGGTTTTTTGTTTGTTGTATTTCTTATGGTAGGTATTACTAAATCCGGTTTTAACCTATAAATCCCCCTCAAATATATAGTATTAGTGTAGAGTTTTGATCTTTATAGAACACAAGTACTATTTTTGCAATCTTGAAGGATAAATCACAAAACGTCTATTAAAAATCATAATGCACTCTTTTCCAAAAAAGAAAAGAAAAACAGCCATAAGAATCATGACAGTATATTGCTCTTTCTTGATTGTGTGATGAAATCAAACCCTAATTGTAATACCAAAGGTCTTTTCTTGTTCTAAATTTTTCCATTGTTTTATTCTATGATTCCATGGTACCCGGTCTTCTTTTCTTTTTTGTAACATAATAAATCACCAGATCAATGCCATATATCCTTCAATGGCCATGAAATCCATCATATTGAAATCAGTCATTCAAGTACTGTTCACAAATCAAAAGATGAAGAAAGTACTCCCTCCGTCTCATAAGACACTTGAGCTATGCGCGGTGATTCTTAAGAAAATAATTAGATGTGTTGATTTTAAGATAAAATTAGTATTATTTACTGAAATGTACTTATTAATTATAATTAGTGGAGTAGTTAAATAGAGTGAAAGTTAATAAATAAGGGTATAGTAGTGGAAAAAAGTAATAAATGTTGTATTGATATCGTAAAGAGACATTTATTTTGAGACATAGAAATTATAAATGAGACACTTTTTATGAGACTGAGGAAGTAATACACAAAAAATTTAACTATATCAATTGGCAGATGTCATCTGGACTATCAAGAGTTCAAACAATAGGTCTCAGATATACTTTTGAAGAATGACAGAAGAAATGTTCAGTAAGATGCTGAAGATTCACAGGCAGAGAAAAAAGATTTCAATAAAAATATGCTCTATTATTAGCAAAAAAGAAAAGACATACTTTTTTCTGAAGATTTTTTGTAGAATGGGGCAACGAATTATTATCCACTCGCTCTCTCATAAGACGATTTTGCTTAAGTGTTTCACTCATTGCCCGTACGGCCCTGCAATGAATAGATAAAGAGTTATCAGCATTTGAAATACTTATAAATAAGCACAAAGATAGCATTCATTATTAATACAACAAATAACCATGCCGGTTGAAAGTTTTATATAAAGGATTATTAATGTACCTAACATAAGTATGTATTATAATCATGCATTCTCTGCATTAGTTACTTAGCAAGCCAGCAGGAACAGATAAAATACCAGCCCTCTACTCATAATAATCTATCAAAGTAGTTCATTTTGAAGTTGAGCTAAACTACAAGCGTTGGAATTTCTGCCTTCATTGCCGTCCGGCCCTAGTCACTCAAATTATGGCATTTGGCTTGCCTTCGTTGCAGCCTCCAACACCTTCATTGTGTTGGGTTTGACGGGTGGATTTAGTCCCACATTGCTTAGAGACCTGGCCTGTGAAGTGTTTATAAAGCTTGGGTAACCCTCACCTTACAAGTCAGTTTTGTAGGGATGAGTTAGAGTCAGTTACACATTCTAAGATGATATTAGAGTTTATCCTAGATCACTTGTTGGACTTTCCACATCGTCCACGCTTCAGCCTCATTGAGGCCCGACACCTTAATTGCGGCATTTCCCTAGTCGCCTAAATTGTGGCATTTGACTTGCCTCCAACACCTTCATATTGGGTTGGCTTGGGCAGCCTTCACCTTACAAGCCGGTTTTTTAGGAACGAGTTAGGCTTAACTCACACATTCTAAGAACAAGAACAAGGAAATGCAATCATGACCCAAAGCCTGATTTTTTGCATATAAACATTTATAGAAAATATGGAAGGGTGCAAAGTCACAAGAATAAGGAATCCTCTAAAAACAGATGAAAAAAGAAAACAAATAAAAACACTATTTTCATATCAGGTAACGAAAACTCTTGCAATGAGCTTTTAGCTCAATTAATACTGAGCCACTTGGGTGTGACAATAATATATATCTTTAAATAGTGAGAGTGGAATGGAACACAATGGAATGGAGTAAAACAAAGAAGAATGGAGGGGATAAAAATAGAGCGGAATGGAACGGAATAGAGATTTTATTCCATTGTTTAGATATTTTATGCCGGAGCAGAACAAATTTCTCATTCCACCCAAATAATGCAATTTAATTATATTCCATCACATGCCCACTGCATCCCACCACATTCCATCAATACAAACAAGCCTAATGGTTTAATCCTCTACTAGGTCACCTATCTCCCTCCCTATGACCTGCCCACATACAAAACCGGGAGAGAAATATTGCGACAAATTTCTTGTATTGCACTCATGCCGAATGCATCACACATCACAAAAAGCACTCTCCAAATTGCCTTAAATAGAGTAAGAAAAAGGAGTTCAGTTCAATAGGATCGTAACCCCCACCCATACACAAAAACTTGCCAGGTCTAAGGAGGATGAGATGTATTAGGCAACCACACAAACCCCAAAAGACAGGAGACGGTTCAGTGAACAAAACAATTCTGTAACAAGCAAGTGGCGGCAGCAGCAGCAGCAGCAGCATTACACAATGCTCCACTTTTAACAGAAAGAAAACTAAAAAGCCATAAATGAGTAATATCCAACTTCAAATGACATAAGACATTATGTTTGCACGTATATTTACTCCAGCCTCCATATGGCCAGAATCTTATGAACCTACTCTATAGATAAAAATAAAAATAACTAGTCCTAAGTCTCCTGACCTAATCCTCTGCAATCGTCTTTTAAGACATGAAGGAATTGACATGAGCATTCAAATGTCCAAAAAGCAAAGGAAACATGTTGAAGACAACTAGCTAAAAAATTAAAAAGCAGAAATTTACTCAAAATTTCAAAAACAACACAGAATGAAAGGGCAACACACTCTACAAAGAAGCAAATACAAATCCAGAAGCATTATGGAACAACAATCAACCTTACGATATCATCCCCAATCTCTGGCGTAATGCTGATGCTTCTTCGTCGTATCCTACGAACTTCTGATGAGGATGCACCATCTGATCTATAGCTGGATCTGAGAAACGAATAAAAACCTCATAAGCCATTTATTTACATAATGAGATGATAAAGAACAAGGACAAAAAATTGTTAGATAATTCCACAATTGATTAAAGCATACAATAAACAAGGGAAAGTAAATATCAGCCAACATAATCTTATATTCCTTAAAATCCCATCCAATTTAACAAAACTATTTGAAGCCGAAAGGAACACTCACATCACGGAACATAAATATGAAAATAATGTTTCAAAGCAACAACTTGAACAACAAATGTATGAGCAGAGAAAAACAAGTCTAGAGTGATGATAGTAAAGGTGATTACAATTTAAGTCTTTCTTTTTCTACTTATATTTACTTGTTTGTTTAGCTTTAGGCCTTGTCAGTTTTGATGGCAGCACTTCAGACTTGAGCTGGCACACTTTGAATATGAAGATATTAAAGATTAACAAATACACAAGTTTTTAAGCAAAATTCTTACAAGTTTACAATATTTTGTGGCCTCTACAAAAAATGCAAATAACTAAAATATCAAATTTGTAGAGCCCATAGCTCAAGTAGATTCCTCACAAATCAAAAAAAGGATCTCATGTTTCATAAATTTGTTTTAATGAATTTCATCACAAATTTTTATTTAATGAGTTTGATTACACCTCAAATAGCAAATCAATTGATAATGGAATATGCAAACGCTGGGTATATTACCATGTTTGCATCATATAAATAAATATCAGTTATCACTTGACACCATGTCTTGACCAAAATGAAAAGAGAAAAAGTCGTAAAATTCAAGCATATAAATTGATAATTAGTTTCATATAAACAAAATAAAAGTGAAAAACTTGACATGATAGTACAAGATTGGATAAAGAAAAGATTGTTAGCAAGTTGTTTTTATTCAAACATAGTAGCAATCCAAAAAAAAAAGAAATACTCCCTCCGTCCCAAATTATAAATCGTTTTAAGCATTTCACACGAATTAAGAAACGTAATGAATGCTTTATGAAGAAGATAAATTATGTATGACTTTACAGTATTATCCTTCATTTATTATAGATGAAAGAGAAACTTAAAGAATTGGAAGAAGAAAAAGTAAAAAATAATAGAGGGTGTGAAAAATAGAAATTAGAAATTTTCTAAATGTGCTTGAGTGAATAAAACACTCAGCAACTATGATATTTATACACACTATAATTAATTACATATTATGTTTACAAGGAGAAATAAATAATAGTCCAACTTCCTAAATGCATGAATCTAAATATACATGAACCTAAGACTTAAATGCTCATTTTAGTGGGAAACATACAATGTATTTTTTCTATTTCCAACACTCCCCCTCAAGCTGGTGAATAAGTATTCTCCATTCCCAGCATGGATACAATTCGTTCAAAATTTGAGCTACTCAATCCTTTAGTGAGAATATAGGCAAGTTGCCCTTGTGAGGACACAAATGGGGTGCAAATCAGCCCACTATCAAGCTTCTCTTTGATGAAGTGTCTATCAACCTCAATATGCTTAGTTCGATCATGTTGAACTGGATTATGTGCTATACTGATAGCTGATTTATTATCACAATAGAGTTTCATGGGTCCTTCCCATTTGATTTTCAAATCTTCTAAAATAATTGAGCTAAAGTAATTCACAAATGCCTTGTGTCATGGCTCGAAATTCAGCTTCAGCACTAGAAACGTGCTACTACATTTTGCTTCTTACTCCTTCAAGTCACAAGATTCCCTCCAAGAAAGGTGCAGTACCCTATAGTGGATCTTCTATCAACAATTGAACCTGCATAATCTGCATCAGTATAGGCCTTAAGGGTTGTCTTTCCATTTCTTTTGAACAAAATTTCTCTTCCTTGAGTTCCCTTGAGATACTACAAAATTCTATGAACAACTTGTAAATGTATTCTTTAGGACAGTGCATGAACTGACTAACCATACTTACAGCATATGCAATATCGGGTCTAGTGTGGGACAAGTAAATTAATCTCCCAACTAGACGTTGATACATTTCTTTATCTACTGCAACATCTTCTATATTACCCAGTTTAAGATTTAGATCCATAGGAACACTCGCAGGTTTACACGTTGTTTTTCCTATCTCTTAGAGTAAATCTGTAATGTATTTTTGTTGAGATATAAAAATGCCTTTTTGGGAATGTGTCACCTCAATTCCTAAGAAGTACTTTAGCTTTCTAAGACTTTTTATTTCAAACTCCTTAGCCAAACAATGACTTAAGATTTGTTGCTCCTTCCAATCATCTCATGTCATTATAATGTCATCTACATATACTAACAGAACTATTACTCCCCCTTGTGGCGAGTGTTTAATGAACAAGGTGTGATCCTCTTGACTTTGCTTGTACCCTAAAGATGTCATAACCTTAGTGAATCTTCCAAACCATGCTCGAGATGATTGTTTTAGTCCATATAACGCCTTTTTCAACCTGCAAACTATATTGTCAGACACATTTTTTTCATACCTCGGTGGTACCTACATATAATCTCATCTTTAAGTTCCCCGTGTAAGAAGGCATTCTTCACATCAAATTGTTGTAAATCTCAACCATAATTGGCAGCAAGTGACAAAATTACTCTCACTGTATTCATCTTCGCAACCGGAGCAAATATCTATGAATAGTCAATTCCATAGGTTTGTGTAAACCCATTGGCAACCAACCTGACTTTATATCTTTCGATTGATCCATCAGCCTTATATTTTACTATGTACACCCATTAAATCCAACTGGCCAGAAACATTAGTGGGTATGGATGTAGCATTTAGGTTTGTAAGGAAGGCTCTATGGATAGGTGAGAATTTTTTAAAAGAAAGATAGTTTGAAAAGGGATATAAAGGTTGTTTGGTGCATTTTCTGGTACCTTTTCTAATAGCAATCGGAAGTTCTAGGTCATCATCTGTAGTTTGGGTCATCATTTTATCTTGTAATTCAGAAGAATTAATTAACTCATTTGAAGGAGTCAAGTCAGACTCTTGAACTTGTGTCGATTCAAGAATGGCCTTTGACTTTCTCATGTAAACCAGATTCTTTCCATATCTTACATCCACTTCAGGTCCAAGTTCAACTACTGGCGTATTTGATTGATTTGACTCAACTCTTACTTCTTCAGCCTCAGATGGGTCTGGTACAAACGTGTTTAACTCAAGACCGGAAAGATTGGACCTATTTGACTCGAAACTAAAAGAATTAGGTGGATTTGACTCAAAACCAGAGAGATTAAGTGTGTTTGAGTCAGGACCAGAATGAGAGAGATCGAGTGTATTTGAGTCATGACCAGAATGACCAGATGCATTTGACTTAATACTAGACAGATTGAGTGTATTTGACTCAAGACCACGAAGATCGAGACTTTCAAGTTTATCTTCCTTAAAATTCTCACCCTAAAGATAAAGATGAGTTAAGTACGATTCCTCCTCATGAAAGGTGACATCCCGCGACACAAAAAACTTTTTAGATGGAGGATGAAAACATTTATATCCCTTTTGAGTAGAGGAATACCCGACAAAAACACATTTTATGGCTCTAGGGTCAAGTTTTTGTCTTGACTATGCACATGGACAAATGAGACACACCCAAAGATTCTAAGTTTAAGATTACTACTTACTGACAAATTTAGATAGAAAGAAGAAAGAACATACATAGGACTCTTGAACCCTAATACTCTAGAAGGTAATCGACTAATAAGATATGTGCTAGTGAGAACGGCCTCCTCCCATAAATATTTTGGAACATTTTGATGAAACAACAATGCTCGGGTTTGGTCTAATAGATGCCCATTTTTTCTTTCTACAATTCCATTTTGTTGTGGTGTTTTAACACAAGAAGACTCATGGACAATTCCCTCTTTTTGACAGAAAGAAGTAAGGACATGATTGAAGTACTATTTTCCATTATCAGACCTAAGCCTTTTGATGTTTACTCCAAATTGATTTTTAATCATGTAGAAAAACTTTGGAAAAACAGTACTGACGTCAGACTTGTTTTGGAGTAAAAACACTCAAGTAACTCGGGTACAATCATCTATAAAAGTAACAAACCACCTAGCACCTGTTACATTTGGATTGGTAGAGGGATCCAAACATCTGAATGAATACGATAGAAGGGGGAAAGACTTTTTTTGTTGTTTAATGGAAAAGGCGGACGCTTATGTTTAGCAACCTCGCACAAATCACAATTAAGACTTTCAATATCTACCTTATTGAATAAAGATGGAAACAAAACTTTAATGACTCCAAAAGAAGGATGATCTAATCGACAATGAAAAAGAAAGATTTTTTCCTTTTAAGAGAGTACTGACTCTGACATAAATGAGTGGGACGAGTTGACTTTTGTACTCTGACCTGATTCTTCAAGATAGTAAAGGTCATTCCTTTCTCTAGTACGTCCAATCGTTTTTCCCGACTCCTTATCCTGAAATATACAACAATCATTATGAAAAGTCACACTACATCATAAATCGTTTGTAAGTTTTTGTATGGAGACTAGGTTCATGGATAGTTTTGGAACATGGAAGACACTTTTTAGGATTATAGAATGATTTATTCGAATATCTCCAATGTCAACTACAGTTACAAGAGTACCATCTACAGTAGAAATTTTTTTATTACTGGGACAAAGGGAATATATGGAGAACTGTTTCGAAGAGAGTGCCATGTGGTTTGTGGCTCCTGAATCTAATATCCAAAATAAGCAAGAAGGTGTTTCTGAGACATGAAATCCAAATGAGAGTGGAAGCTTACTAGAATACGCCACACTGCAATTACCTGATGACCTTTCCATGATATTGGTCATAAAGGTAACAGAAGCAACCACCAAATATTTATGTATAAGATATCAAAGAAAACAAAATTTGATAAAAAATCAACCTAGAAAATATAAGGACAACGTCTGGTACTATGCACACGGCTGTTGAAAAATGTGCAGAGTTGTACCGACAGTGGCAGAAAACTGTACGAACGGCTTCCGGAAAATAGAGACAGCGGCTAGACAGACAGCTACCGAAAGAAGTACGAAATTGTGCAAATGGAGGATAGAAAGAACAAACAATATTCAATTGGAAAAACTTGACAGCAAGTGTTACCCAGTCAAAATTGAAGAGTTCTGACAGCATAAAAATGCTCAGTTAGATCTCTAAATAATGATTAACGGAAGTAAAGTCTCCTAGATTAGGAGCTCTGATGCCATGTGAAATATAGAAATAAGAAATCATCTGAATGTGCTTAAGTGAATAAAACACTCAGCAACAATGATATTTATACACACTATATAATTAATTACATATTATGTTTATAAGGAGAAATAAATAATAGTCCAACTTCCAAAATTCATGAATCTAAATATACACAAACCTAAGACTTAAATGCTCATTTTAGTGGAAAACATACAATGTACTTTTTCTATTTTCAACAGAGGGTATATTGGGAAAAATGTCATCAATAATGCATTGGAATTGTAAAGTGACTTATAATTTGGAACAAATTTTTTTATAAAGTGACTTATAATTTGGGACAGAAGGAGTAGTTAGCAGCCAATCAATAAAATGCAAGCTCAGTTGTGTTTGTACGGTGCCATGATTTGTTTCCGCAAAAGCTTGTCTCTTGTAGCTTTTGCCAAAACCCTGGTTTGGAAATTCCAAACACCAAACCCAATAAACGTATAGTATGATAATGCTGACAAAAACATGCAAGGCCTTATGGATTAAGAAAAGATTGTTAGCCAGTTGTTTTTATTCAAACATAGTAGCAATCCAAAAAAAACAAATAGTTAGGAGCCAATCAGTAGAGTGCAATCTCAGTTGTGTTTGTACAGTGCCAAGATTTGTTTTTGCAAAAGCTTGTCTCTTTTAGCTTTTGCCAAAACCCAGGTTTGGAAATTCCAAATATCAAACCAAATAAACGTATAGTGTGATAATGCTGACAAAAACATGCAAGGCCTTATAACTAAACAGATATAATAGAATATAAGCAAACATTAAGGGGCCTTAAAGGTAAAAACCTTGATGTAGCCTGGTCATCAGCAAAATCTCTAAATTCTGTCTTATCGCCACTAAGCATGGACCGCGCACGTGCTCGAAATGATGGGTGTTCTGGACTGCAAAATCAGAAATATTTCAAAGATAAGACAGACCATGAACTTTTCAACTTTTAAGTTAGTGCGTAGAATTAAGCATTGTTTAAATGCATTCCCCTACATGTTAAAAGACAACATGTACATGGACAAATAAGGAACACAATGGCCGCGGTGTAGCTAGAAATATTGGGGGGAAAGCTACACTTGAAAGAGAAAGTAAGGGTATCATCAACCTTTAAATTTTAGTGAGTCAAGCTAATGATGCCCTTTGAATCAAATAAATGGTTTGATACACCTTTATTTGCTAAGTTTAAAGACAAGCTGCTTGTATTGAAGGTTTATCCAAATATGTGAAACACAAATGGACTCGCAATAAATTTAAAATTGTTATGTATGGGCGTGCATGTGTGTGTGTGTTCGTGTGTGTGTGTGTGTGTGTGTGTGTGTGTATATATATATATATATATATATATCAGTTAGAAAGACAAAACTGAAATGTCCTAGTTACAAGTTGTAGTGTCAACAATATCTAGGCTCTATCAGCAGTATAAAACTTCACATACACAGAGACCAAGAGAAAAAATGAAAATCAGAGTCGAGATATACCAATACTGTCATACAATATAAGTTAAAGGCTGTATATAAAAAATCAAACTAAAATTTTTAAGCTTCTAAGAATCATGATTGACAAAGTTTGGAAAAAGAAAACCAAGGTTAGGAATGATACAGATTATGTGTACTGAACCAAAACCTAACCTTCGCCTATTCATCATTCCAAAAGAAATAAAAGGAATTACGAATAACCTTGAACTAGCTGTCCTCTGCTCAGCAATAACCTTTCTCCGACTACGCCTACCAAATGCAGTTGCAATATTGGGTTCACTATGAGACAAACTGAGATAATTGACACAATCATTTAACAAGAAATAGTTGGTACAGTACATTTTTGAAGATTCTAGTAAAACAAAGTTTCTTAAATATAAAAAATTTACCCTAACAATAATGAAAATGTGAGTGAAGAGATGAAAACAATGGGAAAAGGAGCACAAAACATATTAGGATAAGCAATGGAAAATAATACCTCAAATTGCTATTTGATCGTAACATCATATTTCTCAGGGAAAGGCCTGTTACATTTGAAGACGCTTCAAATCTTTTATGGAATTGAAGGTTTTCCTCCTTCTCAGCACTGTAAGAGGGGGAAAAGTAAACCAATATCAATCAGTTGAAACCTCTAGTAGCTGGAAGAACAGCTATAATGATAGAGGCCTAAAGGTTCTGTACCTATAATCTCACAATTCACTTCATCACAATTGCATGGTAAATGCATCATTAGAAGTTGAAATCAAAAGTATATAGCAAAGGGATTTATGACACTTTTAGGCATCTGAATTTCACTAAATCTGACTTTGTTCCACATATTCCCATTTGCAATTGTGTTATCCTCAGTTATTAAACTCATATTTGTTATAATTCAAGTCCCCCATCAGTTTGATTTAGATATTGTCATACCATTTTGCTTCACATATTCTCTTTGCTAATTGAATTTGATGGTTTATGTAGCACGGTATCACATGCATCTACATTAATCTAACAAGCGAGCTTAATTGCAGCAATTGAAAACTACAACAACATTCTACAATTGAAATTAGGGGGACCAAAATCAAACTGAGGGGAAACAAAACTATATTAAGCCCAAACAACGATAGCAACAGTTTTGAAACCTGTTGAGAACTAACCTTTCTGAAACTCCAAATAAAGGACTGTTTGGCTCTAACGGCGAATCACATGAATCGTTTTCTGCTGAATCACTCTCTCCTGCCACAGATATATGACTCATAAAAACTGCCTTTGTTGATTTTGGCAACAATTGACCCGGAAATCGCATAAGGTCAACCAGCATTTCCGCCGAATTTAATACAACTATAACTGACATATGTTTGTATGAATCTACACATTCAACAGCCCTGTCATTTGGCAAGCCCTGGTAAAGAAAACAATGGTACAAAACATATCCTTCAAAATTTAAATAATAATGGTGAACAAAATTGAATAACAACGACAGCAACAGCAACAACAACAAATCAAGTCCTTATCTTGCTAGGTAAAAAGAGAAGTAAACTGGTAAACAAGATTGAAAATTTTTTTGACTAGCAGGTAAGAGTATTATTACTCAGTATGGCACAGAAATTGAGTCACCAACAGAAATCAGAGCTTACCACCATAAGTCTGCTTTCAAGACCTACAGTATCCGCTAATACTTTAAATAATATAGCTCGAGGACGACATGAACCATGCTTTATTTGCCCCAGCATCTGGATGCCTCGATTCTCAAAAATGTGAGAGGTTTCATCAAATGCAGCTTTTGCTGGACTTTCCACACTGGGTCGCTTGTAAAAATCAGAAACCTATCCAAAAAATAGAGGTAAAAATAAATGCAAACATCTTTAAATATGCTTAGCAAGTAAACTAAATAATAGATGAAGGCAATTAAGAAAAGGTTATCATATGATTAATTTAATCCCTGTAATGCCTATCAACAGACTTGGCACTAATAATTATGTTGCAGCTGGCTAAATTTTGCATAATTGAATATAGTAAATACATACCAATCCAGCTATCTTCTTAATTATTGCAGCTGGATTTGAGTTTAATCCTTTAACTAATGCCACAATCAGTTGCTTCAACATGGATAGCTTTTTATCTTTCTCTAAATCCACGAGAATGATATCGGCTCTATAACCCTCTCCGCCCAAAGCATGAAGCTCGTCCAAGGTAGGAATATTATCAAAAAGTTCTTTGAGTCTTGTCTCCTGCACAATATCAGAAACTAATTAATGAGGATACATTGAGATGGAATAATCATTATAATCACACATCAAGAGTCAGGACACCAGTCACCAGCAACAAACTTAAACAACACATGCTATAATCCATGAATGAGTAGAGATGTTGTCAAACAGCATTGTGAAACTAAAAAGTAAAAACAGAATGACAGCTGAATATCAAAAGAACTTTTTAAACTAGATAAATTTGATAAAGCATGCTAAAATATGCTCAGCTACCATCAAGAACTTTCATCTAATTGACAATACCATTGCTATTGTGGTCCATATTCTCAAAAATTTCTGAACAATACTTTAAAATAAAATATACTTTGTGACCAGAGGTGAATTCCAGAATATACTGAATTTTCTGTTTGTTAAAAATTATGGAATCCTCAACAAGCTAAGCCCAAACTTTACTAATATTTAATAAGTCTAGCCCAAGATTTTAAATAAGCTTGTTTAAACAAATGAGTCAATCTAAAGCCATTCATTTTCTTCTCAAGCCAAGCTCAGGCTTTAAGTATTTATTCGGCTCAACTTGTTTACACCAACTATGTATATTCACAGAAATCAATGTTCTAATAACACTCATATAGACAGACAGAAAAAAAAAGCTTGGGTTCACAATGGGGTCTTCTTAATTTGATTAAAAGAATTGTTGAGAGATTCACATTGCCTAGAGATATGGCTTAAGTGGTGCTTATGAAGTTCGAGAAATCTTCACCTTTTAAGTCAATTTTATGAAAACGAGTTAGGCCTGGAGCCCAATTTTAAGTTGAGAGCTCATCCTAATTTGTTATCAGTCCAAGCTCTCTTTTAATCCACCCATATTTTTCCACGCTTCATATGTGAATCCTAGGTGTGCGAGGGTGTGTTAAGATCCGGTTACTACATGCGCATTAATCCATACTTCAAATGTTCAGTTCTGAGCGTTGATGTGTTTAAAGTCGACACCATTGGTTAGAGATATGACTTAGATAGTGGTTATAAGGTTTGAGCATTCCCCGCCTTACAAGCCGAGTTCGTTGGAATGAATTAGGCCTAAAGCCCAAATTCTAAAAAGAATTATTATATAACATCACTTTTGACTAGAACTCAGCCCCATCCAGATGCATAAACAACTTTTGTCATTTTGACATTATAGCTAGTTTTGGAATAGTTACTGGTGAGGCTGCGGAGGGTCTTTGAACCCTCTCAGATGCAGAAAAAAATATAAGTTCTGGTAGAAGTTTTCTTTTTTCTGGAAATATCTTAGAATGTATTTAGATGAGCTTTAGATTGTCTCAATCTAGGTTGTTAGTCTCAGATAGCGGCGCGTAGCGCCGGACCCCCAAAATGCTATAGCGGCATAGCAGATAGCGGGATGACCGCTATTGTGAGCTTTAAAAACCAAGGTAAATACTTCACATGAATACATAAATACTTAAAACAAGTTCCAACAACATACATAAAGCTTTAAAAATAGAAGTTGCAACAACATATATAAGTTTCAATATCACCATAATATAAGTTCTCATCAAAATCAAATTATAAATGTGTTCAAAATGACTAAACGGAATTCTAAACATAAACTAAACATAAACAAACGTAAACAAAATGACTAAATCACATCCGCCTAATCTTCACTTCTAAGTTCCACAACATTAATATCATCTTGCTCATCACATGATTCAACTTCAAACTCTTCTTCTTCCACCTCTAACTCCTCATCTTCGTTAGACACTAATGTAGCAAGTCTAAGGTTATGTCTAGTAACTCTTGTTGGTTCATTAGCCCCAGCGGCATTACAAACAACTTCCCAAGTCAAACCCTCTTCTCCCAAAACCAAATCATCTTCCAATATTCCATTTTCATCCTCATTTTGTTGCAACCATTCATAACATTCATCAATTTTGTTGAGGAGAATAGGATCAGTTAATTATTGCTATTGAAGCGTTCTATAAGAGGCAAAAATACTAATATTGCCCTTTAATATCATACTTTATATTAGTGAAATAAAAGGCAAAAATACCAATATTTCCCTTGAAATAAATTAAAATTATAATATTGCCCTTTCTTCACAACAGTGGTCTGTAAACCGCTACAGAACCGCTATTGCGCCACCACGACTTCCCAAATAGCGGCCGCTATCGAGGTTAACAGGCCAAAAGCGTAGCGCCGAGGTCCTCTACTGCTATAGCGCGCTATCGACAACCTAGGTCTCAGTATATATTGTGAAATAAATTGGTCATCTAATTAACAAAGAAACCTAAGAAGATGTTTCTTAACTTCATATACATTTACCCAAATTGTTTCCTTATGTAATAAGGGTTAATATTCTTATTGTATTTAGAGGTTTTGAGCATAAGGGTTAATATTCTTATTGTATTTAGAGGTTTTGAGCATTTTACTAGCAATACTAAACTAATGCTTGGATCATTAGTTTAATTGACACTGTGTCGTAATGCACAGCGCCATATAAATATAATTAGTGTTTGCATTGCATTAAGAAGGTAATATAAATTAATCCTCACCGGAATGACTGAATAAAAACCATTTGGTATTGGTTCTGAAAGCACTCCAGTGCGCCAAAGAATTTGTGATGCTTTCATAGGTGACAAAACATCTTTGTCAGAGTGTCTAGAAGATTCTTTATTATTTATTGTCTCGTCTTGAGAATCCAAAGCAACAGATCCAAATTTTTCAACAAAATCTGAAGGCCACCATGATACGTTGACATTAGATGACCCTTGTTCTGACGGCCCTGCATCTTCTCGTGTCTCCTCCATGTTCTTATATATTTGGAATGAAAAACCATTTCGCCACACTTATTAGCCCATAAGAAACATATTCGAGCTAAAGGAAGTTCTTAAAATACAAATTATTGAAAAATATGTGATAGTTCAATATACTTCAGCAGCTCCAACTGTTTCAGGCTGAAGGCCATGTAACCTGCATAATGATAAAATAATAAGGTATTATGGCAACTGTAATGAAAAAACAAAACCAGCAATGTAAAGGGATGAAAATATTCAAAATCATTTAATAATGTGAAACCGATGCATTCACTGCCAAAGGAGGGTAAAGTCACCAAACCAAAATAAAATTTACGAATATGTTAAAATCTTCCTAGCTCCCCCATATGAGTCCAGGGAGGCTAATGAAACAGTCACTAAAGTTATCCCCAAAACAAGCACACGGGATAAATTTCAGAACTGATGTTATTATTACCATTTAAGCGCAGCCCAAAACATAAGGAAGCAATGACTATCTCAGTCCAAAACATTCATAACAAGAGGAAATCTCTCTGCATTGTGCAAGTTGTTTTATTTCCAGGATTTCATCTATTGTATGTATGTCACCTACAAACATTGAATACCAAGGTTGTCAAGATCGAGATCTTGACTATGATCGGGAGGGGTTAGCAAGATCGTATCACGTAAGATCGTAATTAGGATTGGAAGATCCTACCCAATTATTTACCTAGGACCGGGAGGGGTAGCAAGATCCTAAAACATAAGATCACAATCAAATCATAAGATTCTACTAAAATTTAAAATTAAAAAAATGGGAGAACCCTAAATTTAATACTTTGCTGGATATTATTGGAAGTTTTTTTAACTCATTATTGGGAGCTTAGACAACTTTATTATGACAGAGGTAATTTACACCATATTATTTATTTGTTGCTGGGCTGGGCCCATTTAAAAGCAACCCTAATTCTTTTGATTCCTTTATATTCCAACAACAGCACAGTTTTTGAAATCTTCATCTCCCTTAGTGGCAGTGGCAGCATCCTTCTTTCTACATTTTTTTCACTCGTGATATCACCTTAAGTTAGATTTTACTCGCAATCAAGATCGCTAGCAAGCCTTGGGACCGCAAAATAGTAAGATCTTATGATTAAGATTGAGATTTTGATAACATTGAAAACAAAACCTGTATAGATGTACCCAACCCTCAGTCTCAAAAGGAAATATAATTTGTATTAAATTAAAGCACGCTATCGAGACCTTCTATAGATGATTTCCGCTCAACACTTTCCCATTAATAACAAAGTACAAACACACACAAAGGAGTCACCATGGCAAAGAACCCCGCATCAATGATGCGGCTCTTGGGACACGCATACACATATGAGGAAACTTATCTTTAATATTGGAGACGAGATGCGCACAAAGTTATAATGGGTAACTATGAGATGTTTAAATGAAAAACCATTATTGGGGATGGTAATTAACCGGCATTAACAACTTTGTGTATAGTGTACTTACTGCAGACCTCTCAATGCCATGTTTAATTTACAATTGTAAATCCAAATACCATTGAATCCACACCAGAAATAACTTTAAATTTCTATATTGGTTTTAAAATAATGTTCGCATTTTTTACAGGTTCTTGATATAATCCTCGAAAGTGCCGTGGAAAACAGTGATACAGTCATCACACATATGCTCAACAATGGTTTGCAGTACATATTGAAAACATTACAGGCAAATCAGTGAGGTAAGCTCCAATGATACAAGAAGCAATCCTCTAACCTAAGATCAAACACTGCCACCAACATGGGATATATAATTACTCTTTAAGAGTCGTCACTCGTCATACAGCTATTCATTGCACATCCAAAGGAGCACTTTTAGCATAAAATAAAAGTTTCCAAAAGTGCGTCTCATAATGCTTTCTTTAAAGATTCCAAATAAAGAAAATATTGTATTGAATACAAGTCTTTAAAAAAAACATACCTTTTATTCTTTAGAAAGTCAATTGTTTTAATTTCCAATACATTGAATACAACTATTTTCAAACAAATATACCTTTTTAAACTCTTAACGAGTGCCACTGGGGCACTTGTTAGCATTTCACAACAGAGATAACCTCCTATTTGTCCTATTTCAAATAACTTCCATTTCAACCAGTATTCTATGTCAATTAACTAAATATAGAAATATTCTCTTGGAATCTGCATTTAATTCTTCAAAAGTTAAATATGGTTTTTTCAACATAAATTTTCTATAGTTAGACAACTTAACACTTACCCTACACACACATGTTAGCATGACCCTGTAATCAATACAATTTCCATCAACAATTCCATAGTATCTTCTTCTTTCCATTTTTCAAATAATCTCTCCTCTTTATAGTCTTCACAATCGCTTTAGACAAAACAACACAGAGAGCTCCGGACTTTTTACTTTCATTTCCTTGTATTTGATTATTCATGTATGCATCTCTATAATTCAATCAGTATTGCAGTAAATATCAAAAACAGAAACTATCTAATATAGAAGTTAGCTCACGTAAATCCCCGATCAACACGAAAAATCGCAACACAAATTGAATCAAACAAACGATTTATCAACATCACGCACAGACTCAGCTCAACTCAATTCACTATAAATCACAACAACAAAATTAATCAAACAATCAATGCGGACGGACAGAACAATGCTTGAACTGAGAATAACGCGAGTGAAATTGAAATTGCGAGCAATAATAGGAGCAAGAAAATCGAAAATAAAATAATCGGAAAAGATAAAAAGGAGTGACGAATTCACCGTCGTCGTCCAGGAGTAGATCGAAGCATTTGAGTCCGAATCTGAGCAGCGTTTGAATCGGAATGAATTTGTTATGGAAAGCGTGGAATGATCAATACGCGAGCGAAGACACCAGGGAGAGAGGAAATTGATCGTTTGGGTTTTTTTGTTTGATGAAAGAGAAAAAAGAAGAAGAAGATGAATGAAAGAAAGCGATGGGAATTTTGAGAGGATGGATGGAATGGAAGTTGAGGAAATGAGAGTGAGTGGGTCACGTGCGGTATGAGAGGGATCTGGGGGCCTCTCCCCGACAGGCAGCTGGCAAAAGGGTTGGCTCACCAACATCCACAACTTCTTACGCGTCAATACTCAATACTACTTTTTTCCCTTCTCCCGGTTAAATTGTTTTTTATTGGGAAGTAGTATAAATTTATTTACAATTCTATTTAATTTTATTTAATAGATAGTACTTCCTTATTCTTTTTATAAGAGACAATTTATTTTTTAAATTTATTAACTATTTTTTAAATTTATTAAATAGTTAATATATTTGATCAGTTTTTAGACCAAATACATTGATTATTCAATAAACTTAACAAGTAAGTTGTCTCTTATAAAAAAAAGAACGGAAGGTAGTCGTTGGCTGGAAGTTTCGACTAAAGAGAGACGACACAAATACTGGCTTGTGGGTCGACAGGATGGGAAAGATGGTGAAGAAAATAAGGTAAGCCAACGCCAGCAGAAGAAGGCTGGTGGGTCAACTCAGGCAGGTTCGGTCGACAAGGTCGACTGATGGACAAAGAGGACAACGCAAAAAAGGAAAACATTTGAGCGAAAAACAGATTTGAAAGCCGAGAACGTGGGAGGTTACAAAAGTGGTGGAAGGACACGTGGCACCACCAACTTCAACATGACAATTATTTTATTTTCCTATTTAAGGCAATGTCCAGTTTCATTTAAAGGGGCGCATTTTGTAACATTGTAAGGGAAAAACACTCTGAGTACCAAGCCTTAAGAGAAAAGAGTTTTCATTCTTGTAAAATGTATGATCACGTCCACTTTTCCTCTTAATAAGCAATTTATATCATCAACTTTAAAGTTTTTTGTCTTGTTGTTTTTGTTTTTTTCTTGTTTACGCATTCATCTTTATTTAATTTTACACAGTCTTTCTAGAATTTATTTTCAATATACTCTAAACAACATCATTCCATCACCATCTCATACATTACAAACTAGAGTTTTGTAACTTGTTTGGTTGGTCCGCAAATAAACATGCGTTAGGAGGTCAAAGGTTGTTCGCACGAAAAATACGCGTGAATGAATTGACATATCCAGTGGGACCCGTCGGTTTGGTTGTATGCATCCGCACAGTGGTAAGATGGTAATACCACGTCCAAATGAAGAACCGTCTTCGGAGAAAAACACGGTTGTGACTCAAACAACCGACGTTAGCGTTGACGCTGTGTCTACGGTTCTGACTATTCATAGTGGGCATGTCGTAACGCCATATCAGCCTGAACCTAGGCCTATGGTGACAGAAACTAGGGGGCAATATATGTCTAGTTTCACAATGCCCACACCCCCTGACCTTTGGGATACCGGCAGATTTCATGTCGAGCCTGCATCACGGCGGCCCACTCTTTGGGAAAAGCTCTTCGTCAACTTTTTCGTCGTATCAAGGGTTAGGGGCTTTGGCAAACCAAGTTAATAGGCCCTCAAGGTTTAGTGTTCCGTCACTTTTGTTTCCAACTTTCACTTCAAGTTATGTTGTCATCATGAGATAGCAGATAGATGAAAGTAATAATGAAATGGTCCACATGATGACCTAGCAAATGGGCACCATATTAAGACCACTGATACACGATTTGACTCAGAGTTATCAACAATTGACAACTCAGATGACGCGGATAGATGATTTTTTAGGCGCTCCTAGAGACCCGGGTCGACAGATGCCGCCACCTCGACCGGAAACGCCAATTCGACAAGACGAAGTCTTCGACGAGACAGTTAACCAGCAACCACATGAGGTTGAACACACACCCAGGGTGGCTCAAAGGCCTCTGGTTATTTTATTTCATATAAACCAGGACTCAGACTATGTGGTCAGACAAGTTCGACACGAAGCCATGGCTGGTGAACCTAACTTATAAGCCATGGTGGAACGAATTATGGTTCACAACGGGGTGAACACAGACCTTCAACGACCAACATATACATCCCCACTACCAGACTTTGTTCTGCAAATAGAATTT